ATTAAACTATATATATGATTGGTCTTTGTAATTGTTTAAACAGGTATCGTGGGGGAATTTCTTTTCGTAAAAAGAAAAAATAGCAAATGCGTAATACATTTAAGAATGCGAATAGAAAGTGTTTGAGTTTTGAATTGAGTGAATCTAAAAAACTTGAACGAAAAGAGTAATAATACTCTTTGTTACATAGTATTTATTCTAAATCTGTAACATGCCACCTTACATTCTTTTTCCAAACACGCAAAAAGTTTTATAATTGCAATATAGATAAATTTCTGTAGCAAAAAGTTTATATATACAGAAAGTGGCTACCTGAGGTTGTATCTTAGCTTATGGGAAAAAAGTCAACAATATATTACTACGTATCTATTCAATGTCACGACGAACTAGACAGCTAAATAGAGGAGGATCCAGTGAAATTGTGGACAGAGGTTCCGGATCAAGATTTCATGCCACACTAAATCGCCCTTGATGCCTAGTTTGCTAATGGGTTGGTGCAATCACTTCCCTAAGATACAACACTATGTTTTAAAAGGTGTTTCGGGGCGAGCCCCAGGGAGAGGCGCGTGAAAGTCTCAAGAGGTGTACGCCCAGCAATTCGGCTGGCGACGTCGCTCGTGGCAGCTGATGGCTTTTGGTAACGGAACGGCGGAGCGTCGTGCAAGTAGTGCCGCAAGGTGCAATGCGCATGGGGCGAAGCTCATTACATTGCCAATTGCCATCGGTTCTTGTGGGCTGTGTTCGTGCCTTTAACTTGTGGCGCCTTCTTCGTTTCTACGCTCCAACCCCTTATTCGTGCTTGGCGGGGCTTGTCTTGGCTTTGCAATGTTATTTTCGTATTTATTTGCACAGCTTGGAGTTTTTTCCTTTAATTAGGTATTACTGGATTGATGCAACTTGTTTACAGGTTAATTCCTATATGTTGTTAGGGGAATTCAACTAGCACAAGGACAATCATTTTTAATGACTGCAGTCAAGTACATTAAACATGTTTAAGATTTTGCAAAGTCGAAGATATATATCAAGTGGCCGGGGAGAGGGATTGGCTCGAAGATCAGAATGAGAACCAAGAAACCATTTATGAAACAGGTTTTTCCTAGGTGGCTGCATCCTATTTTGACATTGAAGGTTTCTGTGATACAATGTTGATACTACCTCATGTTAGGTAAATACAATTAAGAGAGTTTGCTGGTGGAGAATCTAAAACTAACAAATATTATTAAAATACAATAATTTTAGGTATGTCCACAATCAGAATTTGGGAGAGTTTGAGGAGCTTGGGGTGGTAGGGGTACTTTGTGAAAACTGTATAGTACCACATGGTAACCCTTTTCCCCAACTTATGACACGTCAAAGCTGGCGGCACTAATTCCCCAAACTGAACGTAGATGTCTTGCCATTCCCCAGCTTCTTCCTCCAGATTCTCATAATTGTCTAACTCCTCTCCCAGTTTTTTCTCTTTTTGTTTTCTTATTTTTCTAATTTTCGAACTCGCTGCTATGTAAAAATTGTTTAAATTGTTGGTCCACTATTTTATGTGTTTGTCCGCCAAAAAATTGCGATTGATTGTGGACTCTGGAAAACAGGGCACGCCTGCGAACAACCAAAAGGTTTGAAATGAAACACCCATTATTGTATCTTTTACCAAGCATACACAATTTAAAGTTCTTCCAGAGTTGTTGATAAATAGATCAGCCATGGTATTTCAAGCTGGTTACACGTAAACCAGCAGCCCGGACGAACTTACATGAGAATTTGCTGTATCTTTTTTTTTTATTTGGTAACCTCGACCAAAATCACAGTAACACACAAAACACCATCCGTAAAATAAAATTATCCTATATAATAATTACCTTGAAATAAGTAGAAAATTCAAAATAGAACTTCTCAAGCAGCAGTCGCTATAACCTCTGATTAGCAGACAATGTGTTCTTCAGAGAAACCCAACAGGAAAACTAAGCAAAATACCAAAAGTAGATCTTTCAATTGACTAGACACAGCAACTTAAAGGCCGAAGTTCACAGAGAAAAAGCTAAGGTAATCCAAAAACAAAGTTATGGAGAAGAGAGTATCTGCAGGTTTATTTTAAGATGTTAGAGGCCCTAAGACTAGGAGATTAGACTAAAACGGGCATGCTTTGCTGTTTTTGCTTCTTTAAATAGTGAACACCTGCAACATCCTTCGTGCTTGTTTTTATCTATAAATTACCTTACCTTTTCAAAAAAAAAAAAAAAAANAAAAGTTATTCAGATCCTCCTGCAATTAATTCTCAGTAAAATAGTGCCTGATAAAGATCTAGTTCTAACATAAAAAACGTTTTCTTTATTGAGATGGAAAAAAAAGAAACTAACATGACATTCATTCAAATCATTAAACCCAAATTTGACGTTAAATGATTCTGCATGAAGGTACCTTTGATTTATATGGAAACTCTAGCGGATAGTTCTCTTCCTGAAATATCTCAAGAAACCATGGTTTCACTTCTAACTTTTTCTCCACTGATGACACAATTCTTACAACAAGTCCTTCCGCTCCAGGAACCTGGAAACCAGTATAAGCAGGAGCTAAGATAGGAAGGCACAAGCGAACTTGCTAACACCATTACGAATCACTAAATGCAGAGACAGAAATACTATTAATAAGCGGGAATTTGAGCTGCCTCCGGTTACAAAGAGAGCTGCATCCATAAGGGTATATATGTAATACGGTGAAATGGAGCAACACTTTAGGCTAAAAGGGTTTATTACTGTAGCTCACTTACAAAATTTTGGAACCTGTTGACCAATTGAACCTTGGTGATATGCATTCCAAATGAGCGCCCACTTCCCCACGGCAACCTCTTTAACTCTTCACGTGTCCTCATAGAGCAGCTTGTAAAACTTTTTTTTCGGAGGGCTCACAAATTAGCTTTAAAAAAGGGAAATTTACATGAAAATACACTTGGAGAAAGCACTTTTCACCCGCCTAACCCATAAATACGGTTTTCATTCGGTAGCCCGCAAATATTAATCAATTTTATGAAAGCAAGTCAAACTCGCAAATTTCGTCGAACTTCACCCATAATCACGCCTAAATCAGATTTCGCTCTTTTCTTTCATTTTTATCTTTTCCCTTTTTCATTTTCATTCTTATTTATTTTTTATGACATACGGAGATAATAAAAAATTCTTAGCACTAACAAAATTTTATTAATGCAAACGTATTTTCAATTTTACCGAAGAAGGGTTTGTTTTGAAAAAAAAAAACGAAGATTTATTTTGGTTGATGTTCCAACCAAATTTTAACTAAAAAACGAATTTCGGGATAGACTTTTTGAAGGAAAAAGTAGGAAAGAATTAGATATTGGTTACGTTATTTCATTGAGACATGGTCAGTTTTAAAAATGGTAGGATACTCCATAATTGGGTTATAGTTAGAAAACATTGGATGTTACTATGTGCATAAAGCTAGTAGATTTCAAGAAATTATCATAGTTACATTTTGAATGAAAGAAAAAGATAACAAAATTAATTTTATTGTATTATACTGTATATTAGTATTAGTTAGGGTGGACTTTCCACTTGCTTTTCGTATTTTCTACTCAGTAAAATTGTCTGCATGATAATGTGATAGCATATTAGCTGAATTTTTCATATCATATGTATTTTTATATAAAGTTTCTAAAATTTTATGGTACATATTAGTCATTTTGTAATTTTAATCTAGTTCTTGCTATTATAATAATCTAATTGTTTGCCTTTACGTTCTAGTTTAATTGGCAGTTTTCTTTTGCTAAGTACAAGAATTTATTTCATGTTAAAATTAATCGATTTTTAATTGAGTACTTAAATTACTCATCACTATTTGATTCATTGTAATCAATATATCTTGGTAAATGATAAATTTCTCAAAGAGCAATTGATTTGATAGTGTTTCAATATTGCTGCTAAATATATAAATATTTTAAATTCTAATATTTCCTCAAAAAATTTGCAGAGTTTAATACTAAGAACTGTGACGACCCAAAGGGGTCATCACCTGTTTTCTTACCCATTATGTGCTTCCGAGGCCTTGAAAACCTCATTAATAGCAGCCTCGTTATGCGTGCCCAATGTAACTATCTTGTGGATTTCTACATATCTACATGATCAATTAGTATTCTACGTTTTGGTTTTACTATCAGATGATTCCGAGTAAAACTAGCTTGTGTTTCCTGTTAGTCGTGCGAAGTGTTCTTCAACATCTGTTATGAGTCCGATTTACCATTCCTTTTGACTGTCAAGTAAACATATAAGCATTTAGAGCTTTGTCTTAAGCAGTTACTAAAGCATTTGAATTTGGATATGACAATTGGACCCGGGCTCAGCACGGGCGGACCCACCTAGTGGGTTTTTACCTTTTATAGAGTTGTACTTAGAGTATGACTCCCCTGCTATATAAAGGGGGTTTGATAATTCACGAGACACATTGTATCACGCATTAAAAAGCAATATATTATTAGTTTCTCTGTTTTTTTAGCTTTTTTTCTTGTTCATCAGTGTTGGCTATTGTGAGCCTGGATTGAGGGCTAATATTTCACTAAGGTTGAATCCGTCCTCGCGTGGTTTGAATTCATTTTATCTTTGCTTGTCCAATCTAATTCAATTTATTGCTTTGTGTCAAATAATTTGCGTATTCTTAAAAAAACTTAATAATTTAATTGTTATCCGATTTTGAGGGTAAACATCCTTTATTCCAATTTTATGGTATAGTTTAAATACCCATCATTGATAAGGAAAAAGAATAACTGTTCACTTTATAAAATTTCTTGGAAATATTTGTCTAAGAAACATGACAGATATTTTCCAACAACTGCATANGAGGTAGCCTTGCTGGCGTCCGCAGGCCCGGCGTCTCTTCTTTCAGTTTTCATGTTCTGTTGACATTTGTATTCGAAACAGACTATGTCCTTTATTTCAAACTCTTATTTGTAGTAATCCTAGACAGTTCGTGTATTGTTGTGACACCAGGTGCTGGGTAGAGACTTGTATTGGCTTTCTAGATGCTGTTTCTATATTTAGTTCAGATTTTCGCTAAATTTTACTTTCCGCGGTCTTTTAGCTGCTTATTCATTGATAATTTAATTGTAAATCATGTATAAAACGAGATAGGCTGATTTTTTCAAGGGTTCTTGGCTTTCCTAGCTTTCACGAGTAGGCGCCATCGCGACTCCCGAGGGTGGGAAATCCGGGTCGTGACAAGTTGGTATCAGAGCTCTAGGTTACATAGGTTTCACAACTCACGGACAAGGCCGAGGCCGTGCTAGAGGCCGAGGTAGGGGCAGAGCTCAGCCCCGAGCAGCAGCACCAGTGGCGGAGCCTCAGGTTAACTTCGACGAGGAGGTTCGGCCCCAGCCCCAGCAGTTTCGGTGGGCCCAACTCAGGTCCAAAGGGGTTTATTGCTACCCCAGTTCTTCAGGACGCTCTGGTCCGATTTGTGGGTCTCATGGAGAGTGTTACCCGAGCAGGTTTGCTTCCTGTAGCACCAGCCGTCTCTCAGGCTGGAGGAGGGGCCCAGACTCCTGCTACTCGTACTCCGGAGCAGGGAGCTCCCCCGATTCAGACTCCAGCAGTTCTGCCAGTTGGAGCAGATCAGCCGGGTATGGTAGCCCAGGCCGGTGATGGGGCAGCTATGTCTTCCGATGCTTTATGGAGGTTGGATAGGTTCACCAAGCTCTTCACTACTACCTTCAGCGGTGCATCTACCGAGGATCCTCAGGATTATTTGGACAGCTGCCACGAGGTTCTTCGGAACATGGGTATTGTTGAGACCAATAGGGTTGATTTTGCTACATTCCAGTTGTCTGGATCCGCCAAGACTTGGTGGAGGGATTATTGTTTAGCTAGACCAGCAGGATCTCCAGCCTTGACCTGGGAGCAGTTCACACATCTATTTCTAGAGAAGTTTCTCCCTATTACACAGCGAGAGGCATATCGGAGGTAGTTCGAGCGTCTCCATCGGGGATCCATGACAGTCACCCAGTACGAGACTAGGTTTATTGATTTGGCTCGACATGCTCTTGTTATACTTCCCACTGAGAGGGAGAGAGTGAGACGGTTTATTGATGGACTCATTCAGCCTATTCGTCTCCAGATGGCTAGAGAGACTGGAAGCGAGATATCTTTTCAGGAGGCGGCCAATGTAGCCCGGAGGATTGAGATGGTATTGTCACAGGGGGGTGGTCACAGGGCAGATAAGAGGCCCCGTCAGTCAGGCCGATTTAGTGGTGCCTCTTCTGGAGGCAGAGATTCGTATGATAGGGGTCAGCCTTCTAGGCCTTTCCAGTAAGCCCTCCAGGTTTCTCACGGTGCTTCTGGTAGCCGTGGTCCTCAGACGCAGTATTCCGATCAGCAGTCTTTCAGTGCGCCACCAGCACCTATTAGTGCACCACCACTTCAGAGTTTCCAGGGTCGTCAGCCCCAGCATCCGAGGGCTTGTTTTACTTGTGGCGACACGAGGCACATTGCTAGGTATTGCCCTCGCGCGCCAGGTGGCTCTCAGCATCAGAGTTCTCGTGCCATGGTTCAGGCACCAGGTGTTCCACAGCCCGCCCAGCCAGCTAGAGGTGGGGGTAGAGGTACTAGAGGTGGAGGTAGAGGTCATAGAGGTGGAGGCCAGCCAGCAGCAGGCCGACCCAGAGAGGTAGATCATAGTGTTGGGGCCCAGCCCTGATGTTATGCTCTTCAGGCCAGGCTCGAGGCAAAGGCTTCAGATGCGGTTATTACAGGTACGGTTCTGGTTTGTGATAGAGATGCTTTAGTGTTGTTTGATACGGGGTCTACATATTCGTATGTGTCATCTTATTTTGCCCCGTATTTGGTCATGCCTAGTGATGCATTGGGTATTCCTGTTTATGTGCCTACACCGGTGGGTGACTCTATTGTGGTTGATCGAGTCCATCATTCTTGTGTTGTGGTGATTGGGGGTCTGGAGACTCGTGTAGATTTGTTGCTTTTAGACATGGTTGACTTCGATATTATATTGGGGATGGACTGGTTATCACCCTATCACGCTATCTTGGACTGTCATGCCAAGACCGTGATCTTAGCTTTGCAGGGTATGCCTCGTTTAGAGTGGAGAGGTACTCCATGTCATTCTACCCGTAGTGTTATCTCGTATGTGAAGGCTTGGCGTATGGTCGAGAAGGGGTGTTTGGCCTATTTGGCATTTGTTCGTGATTCTAGTGCTGAGGTCCCTCCTATTGATTCTATACCCATTGTCCGGGAGTTTCCTGATGTTTTCCCTTCAGACCTGCCGGGTATGCCACCAACAGGGACATTGATTTTTTCATTGATTTGGCTTCGGGCACTCAGCCCATTTCTATCCCGCCATATCGTATGGCCCCGCCGGAGTTGAAGGAGTTAAAGGACCAGGTGCAGGATTTGATTGAGAAGGGTTTCATTAGACCCAGTGTTTCGCCTTGGGGTGCGCCGGTGTTATTTGTCAAGAAGAGGATGGTCGATGAGAATGTGTATTGATTACCGGCAATTGAACAAGGTGACAATCATGAATAAGTATCCGCTGCCGAGGATTGATGATTTGTTCGACCAGCTTCAGGGTGCCAGGGTATTTTCCAAGATTGACTTGAGATCTGGCTACCATCAGTTGAGGATTAGGGCATCCAATGTCCCTAAGACAGCTTTCCGCACTCGGTATGGGCATTATGAGTTTTTGGTTATGTCATTCAGGTTGACAAATGCCCCAGCAGCTTTTATGGACTTGATGAACCGAGTGTTCAGGCCTTATTTGGAATCTTTCGTGATAGTTTTCATTGATGATATATTGATATATTCCCGCAGCCAGGAGG